ATCAGCTATGAGCCAGTTCTGACCCAACAGCACACAATAACAATATTATGCATAGAGTTTTGGATTACATTATATGAAGCAATCACTCCAGCTACATGGTTGTTGTTGTTATTGTGTATTGTAGGGTTGGAATTGAGACCCATAGCTGACCATCTGGCAGGTTTTCAGAGGCAGTTAATTACACAGGAGGAGACCGCCGACCTCCCAAGGAGCAGCTGGTGGCCTTGAACCACATGTCTTTGGGAGTTTAGCGCAGCTTTTTGCCACTAGGCCACCAGAGTTCCCTAGCTACATGGTAGACATTTGATAAATATAGCATTCATTTTCTTTCCCTTTGTTATTTCAGATAATTACCCTACTTTCAATACTTTTTCCAATTAGTCTACAGAGTACAGGCTCAGTCTGGGACCAAGATGAGGGCACAATCGTGATTAGAGTGAGGCCTCAGAGTGGGACCAGGCTCAGGGCTAAGTGTATAAGGAGGGTTAGAAATCAGAGTATGACTGGGCTCAGGGCTCAATCTGGGACCAGAATCAGGGCTCTCAGGCTTAACCAAGGAAACCACAGTTTCCCTGAGCGTGATTCTAACTGACCTCCCTCTCCCCTGGCCTGAGCCAACCCACCCATGTACCTATAGGAAGCTGTGCCCCTCCTTGGTGGTACTGGCTGTGTCCGCCCCCCACCCCCACCCCACCCCATTCCTTAGCTCTTAGCAACAGGCAGTCAGAGAAGCAGCAGCCAGCCCTGGCAGCCCAGCTACCCAGCCTTTAGCCAAGAGTCAGAACCTTAACATGCTGTCTCCTGGCTGCCCCTTCCCAATATCCCCCTGTGTGCCGGAGCACCCCCACCTGCCAGTGCCACTACCTTTCTGTCTCTGCTGTGCTCTGACTGGCAGGTCTCTCTGTGCCAGGCTGGGAGACAGGTGCTGGGCACTGCTTAGGCCCCAGAGCCTTGAGCCAAGCAAGCCTGGGGAACCCTGAGCCTGGGCTCCTGTCCAGAAGGCCTGGACATGGAACCTGTCTCAGGGCTGCTCAGCTGGGGATCTTATTGCTTCTAAAGAACTGAAGCTGTTTTCCAGGCCAGAGACCAAACCATACAGGCAGCTGACTTCAGACTATCAAATTGTAACAGGCTTGGGAGAGCACCGGGGTCAACTTTACATCCGGGTCTTGAGAAGACCAGGTAGGGGAGGAACCAACCTGAGGTCACACAGGGAATCAGAGGCAGCCTCTGGGTCATCCTAATCCTAGTCTGTTGATTTTCTTCTGATAGGTCTCACATACCAACTGTGGGCACTGCTGAGGATTCTCCCTAATCCGTGCCTTAGCCCTGTCAACATCTCCCCCAAAGGCTCCACCATCATATCACCATAGCCCAGGTTCTTAGGGCAGTTTCGCAGGCATTGAGAAGTAAGGTTTAACTCTCAAAGTTACACAGCAAGCTAATAGCAGGGTCTGATTCATTCACTTATTTGTCCCTTTGTTCTTTTCTTCTACATTTGTTTATCAACATCCTTCTCTGCTCCAGAGACTGTCTCTACTGACATGGTGAGTAAAACTGGCCTGGTGGTTGCCCTCACGGAGTTAGTGGCACATGGTTGGAGCAGGGAGTTCTGACACAAAGTAAAATAATAATGACATAAAAGCACATGTGAAACTGAATCTCAACACTGAGTGGAAGGCCGGTTCTTCTGAAGAAGAGAGTGTGCAAGGCCTGCTCAGAGAATTGAGGATGTTCATGGTGGCTGGAGCAGAGAGGGGAGGGTGGGCTTTGTTGCTGGGGAGCCAGGGAAGGTGAGAAAGCATTGGAAGACTCAAGGCAAGGGATTCAATCCTCCAAAGGCTGTGACTGGAAGAAGGAACAAGATTAGAGTTAGAAGAACAACTAAGAACAGTAGAGCAGCCTCAGTGAGCTGTGGAGAGTTAGTGGAGAGAAGTGGCCGAGAGACAGGAGAGGAAATGGACAAGGCTGAGCACAAAAGGATGTGATTTCTGTTGCCAGGATGTAAGTAGAATCACCTCAGGAGAGAGCATAGGAAAGGAAGAGCCACAGAAGGTCAAAACCCGAGACACACAGACATTTAATAGCAGGGAAGAGACACAGAAAAGCCTGGCCACAGAGGAAAGGAAGAGAGTGGGCTATCTTGGAAACCAAGAGAAGAAAGGGCTTCAGATAGACTTATAAGGGACTAATATCATCCATTAGCTTTGGTGGCCTAGTGGTAAGAAGCTGTGCTACAGTCTCAAAGGCACACAGTTCAAATCTACCAGCTGCTCCACAGGAGACAGATGGTGAATCTCTTATGTGATTTACTTTCTCTGAAAACTAACCGAAGGGTCAGCTATGGGTTGGTTCTTACTTGATGGTACTCAACAACAACACAGGATCACCCAGAAATGCCCATTGGGCATAGGACCAGCAATGGTGCTCAGTGAAGAAATGGAGTTGCACTGAAAGCCAGGTGAATAGCTCAGAAGGAGGAAGAAAGAACCACAAGATAAACAAGTGTTTCCCATTGCCCAGTGGACTTGTTATCCTGGGATAGTCAGGGTAGGGGACACAAACTAAAATGTCTCAAGGAAGATGCCTGTATAAGTTGTGAAGTGGGAATACCCCAACCTAGGGTAGGGTGTCCCCATCTTAGGGCCTGGTATCTCCTCAGTTTCCCACTAATGGGTCATTCTCAGCCAGAAGCTACCCCTCGACCCCCGTACCATGTGCCCCCTAACCCTTTGTTGGGAAAATCTACCTTTCTATAACCAACAAACCCAGTTAGAAGGGCAGATCCAGACTGAGACAGGAATTCAAAGCACCCAACACCTACACCCCCCACACCCCAATTTGAGGTGAGTGGGATAGTGAATATAACAGAAAACTAAGCTTGGTCAATTAAGCTTAGGATACTGGAATAACAGGTCAACAAAAAAGATGGGGGAAATGTTTTGAAAGAATGAGATGGTACATGTATCAAAGGGTTGTAGTAGTCATCATAAAATGAGAACTTTAGCAGACTTTCTTGTGCTTATTTTAAGCTTTGTTTTTCTGTATTTCCAATTAGACACTGTGGCTACTCTATTCTTTCCAAGGCTCAAGATCCCCAAGGAGACTCTCTGAGGTTCCTGCGGGGCTGGGGTTAGCAGTGGAAGCCCTGTTCAGATCCTGACAGCTGGGTCTCCATCCTGGAAGCCCTCCCTTCGCAGTTCATTTGCATCTCATTAGCACCATCGCCAGCAGGCCGGCTCCCTGCCCCCTCCTTGGGTGGGGATGGGTGCAGCAATGAGCTCCCCACCCCCCACCTGTCACACATCTCCTGCCCTCTCCGCCCCTCGAGCTGCAGCCCCTGGGAGGGCGCAGGCAGGATCCGTGAGCCCAGCCCTCCACGCCCGCCACCCAGGCTCTGGGCTACCCTTGCACGTTCCCATGGAAACGGGGTGACAGCGCAGGTCGCGCAGCCTGCAGAGGAGCTCGGCGGCCTCCCAGCTCCCCGCCCCACCGCCCAGGCTGGATTGGTGATAGGCAGCGCCTCCATCTCCAGAGATGATCGGCGATAATTGGTTTATGGAAATAGCTGAAGGGAGAAGGCGAGCTCCTAGCTAGAAACCAGCCTCCCTGCCAAGCCTGCTCTCTACCACCTGTCCTTCCACCACCAGGGAAGTGGAATTGGGGGAGGGGAAAGGGGAGGAGTCGAGCTGGTGGAGATGAGGCCTTTCCAGGCAAGCAAGTGTTTCACCTGTTGGTCACCAGTTTAGATTCCCTTTCACTCTGTGTGTATGGGGGAGGGGGGAAAGGATGAGAGAAGGGTTGTTGCTATAGGAACGAATATCTGCCTCAGTCACTCCCTTGACCCTAAGCCTGTGCTCAGGTCTATGCTGGGTGCATTACCGCAGAAACGGAAGAAGGCATATTGACCTTGGTGAGCCCAATTTGGGGGAGGGGGGGGCGGGCAGAGAAAGAGTCCCAGATCCTACCCTTGGGGAGAATCACTTAGCAGTGGATATAAAGCTATGCTTATATATAAGTAGGTCAGGCAGTGTTCCAGTTGTGGGAGTTCAGAGGCAGGAGAGAGCAACTCTGGTGGCTGCCTGGAGGAGAAGACTTCATAAGCAAGACTCTGAAAGTAGAGGATTTCAGCAGGGGGAGGTGAGGGGCTTGAGCAGGCAGTTCTGTAATGGAAGCTATGGGCAAAAGCCTGTTGGCAGGAAATGGTGATGATGATGGGACTGGGGGTAAGGAGGTGTGGATAGTAGTATGGTGGGAGGCAGTGGTGGCTTTGGAATATCTGCTGGAGGAGTTGAGGGACCACAGACATACTGGACAGGACGTTATTGCATAGTGCTTATAGTAAAATCTGAGAAAATGTCTAATGCTCAAATTGAGATGAGGGGGCTAGATGTCTCAATGTCCTTTTGGAAGATGTGACTAGCAGATTGGCCTCATATACTAGGCTGTGAGAAGAAGAAATCCAGGTCTCAGCTCAGGTCGGAGGAGGGTTGGAGAAGAGGTGCATCAAAGAACAGAACTAATGACTTTGTAGTGATGGGGATGATGTCAAGGAGGAGGGTAGCTGTAAAGACCCTGCTCAGGGTTGACTGTGGTCAGAAGAGACACCCAGAGGTCCAAAGAGGCTTGCTTTTACCTTCCCCATCCTGTGACCATGGCCCTTCCCCCAACATCAGCCTGGACCTCTGTTTACAAGAGCTCTGCCCTGTGAGGTCAGAGTTATAGACAAGATGATGCCAGCTAGATAAGGGATCAATGAACAACTTGCTAGAGCTCTTAGCTCTTTCAATTGTGCAACCCTGGAGGCTTCATCTCATGTACCAGAGGAAAGGACTTGGAGGAAAGGGAGCAATCTGCAGAGTCCACAGCCCTATGTGATTCCCCTCCAGACATCCCAGGCCCAGACCCAGCACCTTTGTGTGCGTATATGACGAATAGCCAAACTTAGCCTCCGTCACAGTCTTTCCTACTGCCCTGTCCCACTGTCAAGAGGCACTTACACTATCACATAGGGCCATGGTTCAGAGCCATCCTTGCAGGTAGGAAGGTTGATTGCCCCATGGAGCGTTATCATGATAGTCTCCTTATTAGAGGGAGAGAGGTGGCTGATGCCAGACTTCATGCTCTGAGAGGTGTTCAGGGGTTCCTGTGGTTCTTCAGGATCCTGTGGGGAAGAGTCAGAGCTGAGTGCCCTCTTCCAGTGTGGCCACCTCCCTTAACTGCCACTCGATGGCCTCTAGTCTCGCACACAGTTTCCTTCTAATGGATAGCTTCTCCTGCCATTCCCTACCCAGCCTGGAATTATAGGAGTACTTGTCTTTTATTTCTTCTCCTTACCTCTATCCCTTACCCCTGTCTCTCGCAGGCCTCTCCTCCAAGTCCTGGACCCACCTGCCGAATGTTGCAGAACGAGGAAACGGCCTCTTCCCTCAACGTCTACTTATATCCAGCCTGCCCTTCTCTAGGCCACCTTTCTTGGTCAGAGCCATCTTAGTCAGTCCACCAGATTGTCTCACCCATAACTCCCAGCTCAAGAATGTGCCAGGCCTTCCTCCTGCTGCTGTCCTCTACTCCCCTGCCAGGATGAGAGCAGGTTGAAGGTGCAGGAATCCTTCCACCCATGCCTAATTTCTGGCTATCTAAGATTACATCACCTCAGTTTTTAAGTCTATAATCACATACAAGCTTTTATTTTTACAGATACTAAAGGGAGGTAGTTGGTAATAATAACGGCATTTTGCTCCCTGTGTTGGGAACCCCGGTGACGTAGTGTGTTACATTTTGGCCTGCAAACCAAAAGGTCAGTCGTTTGCATCCACTAGCTGCTTTCTGGTATAAAAATGGGCAGTCATCTTTTATAAAGATGTTCATGCTTGGAAACCCAATGGAATTGACCAAACAACAATGGGTTTGCATGATTTTTAACCCTACAGTAACGATTTATTGTAGAATAAATCTTCTTAATTAGTATAGAAATGCTTGGAACTTGCAGAACAAGTTCGACTTGTCTCAGAACCTTCAGAAAGACATCTGGACATCCAGACTGACAGGAAGAAATAATGTCTAAAAGTTTCCACTGATAAAGTGATAACCAGAACTGCACTAGACATTTAACAAAAATTTTAATTATCAGCTATCTGCTTCCCCTCAGCCTGTTTCTCTTTCTGACATATTGCTAACATTTGATGGAAGGGAGTTTGGAAAATCTTAGAATGCAGGTGGCCTTGCTTAGCTATGCTTGCTAATAAAGGGTCCTGTCTATCTGTCTCTTCTTGAAACTAAGGATTTTTCTTTGGAATTTGAGGATCCAACACTCTAAACACAAGTATTAGGGTGACAATACCCTCACTTGACATTTTGACGTTCCACTTGCTTTTGAGGTTCTAGGAATTGACTACCTAAGGTCCTTCCTGTGCACAGCACTTTATGAAGTACAAAGTTTTCAACATCCACAGAGTCCCTCAATACATTAATGGAAGTTATTGAATATGCCAGTCCTAGAGGCCACATGCATCATCCAACCAGGAAATCCTGTGGACTATGAAGGAAGACAAAGTACCTGCCTACTTATAGGACCTCCTAGGTCATTGTCTCAAATAAACACATATATATTCCAATCTGCAGTACCACAGTGATGAGACATTCTGGGGCAGCCAAGGAAAGCTGGGAAGAGGTGGTGCAGTGTAATCGATCGTTTTTCTATAGCTTTTCTCACCATGATCTTAAAAACTTCAATCAAAACACATGGTTCAAATCCACTATCTGCTCTTTGGGAGAAAAATGCACAATCTCCTCTTCTGTGATTTACAACCTCTGAAAACCTAGTGGAGAGTCAGCTATGAGTCAGTTCTGACTTGGCATACAGCAGCAACAACAACATAGGTACATATGTAGTTGTTGTTATGTACCATTGAGTCAATTAAAACTCATAGTGACCCTATGAACAATAGCTCTGAACTCTGCCCTATCTTTTTTTTTCTTTATTATTATTTTGTGTGCATGTACCGTCAAATCAGATCTGACTGGTACAGGAGGATATTGCGCTTCCTTCTCCGGCAGAGCATCTGGTGGATTCGAACCGTGTTCCTCTGGGATTGCAGTGCAGCTTCTTGCTACTAGGCCACCAGAGCACCCCTTCTCTGCCCTATCTTGAGCTAATCTCACTGTCTCCAATATACCTGGCTCCCATTACCACTGTCACTGTGTCAATCTGTCTCATTCAGGACCTTCGTATCCTGCACTGACCTTACCCTTCCAAGTATGATGTTCTTCTCCAAGGACTGATTCCTCCTGTCAACATGCTCAAAGTATGTCAGACAGAGCTTCAAAATCCTTGCCTCTAAGAAGTAGCCTGATTTCATCCTCTCCAGGACAGACCTATTTGTTCTCTTGGCAGTTCATGGTATGTTCATTACTACTCTTTTCTGGCACCACAACTCAGAGGCATCAATTCTCCAGCTCTCTCAAGCATAACAAGTAACTGTGAAGACTATGAAGGGAGGGGCTATTCCTTGAAGAAAGACAGGATGCTGGTAAGGGTGGAGAGTTAGTTAAGGTGAGGAAGACCCTCAACCAGGTAGATTAACATGGTGACTGCAGCAATGGGCTCTTGTGTGTCAAGAAATGTGAGGATGGCACAGGATAGAGTTCAGATCTTTTGTTCATAGGGTTGCTTTGAATCATACTTAACTCAATGGCACCTAACAACAACAACATGGCCAAGATCAGGCACACCTTAGTTTCTAGACTAACATCATTGCTCTTTAGCACTTTGGAGATGTCCCTAACAGCCGACTTTGCCAATGCAACTCATCTTTTGATTTCCTGACTACTGGTACTAAGAGTGTTGATTGTGGATCTGAGGAAAATGAAATTATTAACAATCTCCATCTGTATGTTGTCATTGCCATCAAGTTGGGACCAACTCATAGCTGACTATATTGAGTTTGTTAGGCTGTAGATTGCAGGAGAGGAGGCTGTCCATCTTTCTCCTAAGGAATTGCTGGATGGTTCAAACCACCAGAGAGGATCAGCCTTTGGGTTAGCAGGGCAACTCCCTATCGACTAAGTCACCAGAGTTCTTCTGATAATTGGATTGTTGTGTACTGTCCAGTCAGAACAGATTCCACAGCTGGTTTTCAGAGGCACTTAATTGCACGGGAGGAGACTGCCCATCTTTCTCCAATGGAGCAACTGATGGATTCAAGCCACGTGCCTTCGAGATTGAAGTACAGTCTTCAAGCACTAGGCCACCAAAGCTACAATGCAAATAAGATGCTATATCTCACAAGGAAATGAAATAGTTTATTATGCAAATAATGTGCATGGCATGCTCATGGGGAGTGAGACTATGGAAATAAGGTCTATACAACTCTAACAAGGAAATTGGTCAGTTAGGCTTTAAATGGCCTCAGAAGCAGACAGTGTACTTCACTACCATCAAGAAATGCTTCCTTTGGACCTGGGATATTTTACTGAAAACTCTCTAAGCCCAAGAGAGCGTGAGCTATAGCACTGGAGATGGTGAGCGATGGATGGTGAGAAGCAATGGCGGTGGCAGCAGCAGCACAATCAAGAGATTGGCAGGAGGTGGTATAGTGGGCTTCTTGATTCAAGGAACAAAAAGCTGAGCACTTTCAGGCAGGAAGCTCGCTGGCAGAATGAGGTGCCTTTGGGCAGTTGGCAAAATTAGGCTGCACTGCTAACTCAAAGGCATGTGGTTCAAACCCGCCAGCTGCTCCAGTCTCCTCCTCTGTGATTTACAGCCTCTGGGAGTCAGCTATGAGTCAGATCTAACTTGATGGCACATGACAACAATCCCCACCCAAAAATAGAGGACCTTCAGGCAGTAGGCTTCCTGTCTGTATGGGTGCCTCTGGGCACTCAGGGTGGAACTAGAGAGCTTGTTAACACTAGCCCGAAATGGGTGGAAACTGTTTGGGCCCAAGAGGCCCGAAAGTCTGAGGAGCTGAACACCAGGGAGAAACCTCCCTCCTGACACCATTGTGAAGTTGTGCTGAGTGAAGAACTGAACCCTGAGTCTCTTCCAGTCCTTCATTGTAACTTGTTACTTCCCTTACAAACCACATAATTATGAATATTGGCTGTGAGTTCTCTGTGATCATTGCAATGAATTCTTGAACCTGGCAGAGAGTTTCATGGGAAGGATGGCTCATTTCAGAGTTGATAAAAAGGTTGGAGAGAGAAGATAGGTCTGACTTTGACTTCACAGGAATCAGCCTTGCCTAGCATTAATGATGGTCCAGTGGTAAGGAGTTGTGCTGCCAATTGAAAGGCAGGCGGTTGAAATCTGCCAGCTGCTCCATGGGAGAAAGATGGACAGTCCTTTCCTGTGTGGTTTATTGTCTCTGAAAACCCACTGGAGGTTCCACCATAAGTTGATTCTGACTCAACGTTGCATAACAACAAATACAAATGGTAATTATTTCTTCACCTCATGGAGTTAGAGGAAGTCAGATGCCCCTGCTACAACAGTTCTCTAGGAAACCTTATAGACTGAGAGGTACCACATGAATGAACCAAACAAACAAGCCAGAAAGCAGATCACTGTAAGGCAAGTTGCAAAATAGGAAGGGCGGAGATTTCTGAGGCCCTACGGAGACTCTTCAACTTTCAAGGCTGTAAGAAGTAAGGGTAGGTAAGTAAACTGGGAGTTTGGAGTACAGGGGGGCATTTCTGGTGACTAACTTTTGCCCCTCAAGCTGATAAATCAGAGCTGGCTACGTGAGGGATCACAGAAGAGCACCATTGGTCCCTGACAGGAACGGCGAGTCTCCTCAGGTCAGAGGTGGATGACTGGTTTATCTAGAGATTTGAGCTAATCAGACTTGGTATTTAAGGTCAGGCTCTGGTCAAGTGAAAGGGTCTTTAGAGTAGCAAGGCTCCATGGAGACCCTAAACACATATAAAGAAGGGAAGACCAGGGCCCACAAATGAATATGCGCTCGACTCACTGTGGGTTTTGGCCCTGGAGTCACCACTGGGAGGATGGATTCCTGGATCAGTCTGCCCAGTTAGTGAGATGCACCGAGTGTCTGGAGCTCGGCCCACATGACCCAAAATCAACCACACCCTGAGGTCTGGTTTCCTCAACTGGTCACTGAGAGGTTGGACTTTCTGTCTGAAACCTTCCCAGGTCCTTCA